TTTGTGGTTTTACCCCAGAATGACATCACATTTTCAATCTCTATAAAAGATCCCCAGTAATGGCTGGAGGTGTGGTCAACACGAACTTGATAACAGCTGCTTAGTTTGCCTTAATGTTCTGCATGTTTGCGATTATAATTTTATTCCATTATTTTTGCAGTTGGGTTGTTATGCTTGTTACATAGCTTCATGTTGGCTTAGCTAATATCTCGGTTACTCCTTGGCAATGCAGGTCATAAATAAAACCCCTGACTAGTTAGCGAGTTGTTGCTGGGGAAATTCGTTGCAAAGAGGGTGCTGCACCAAAATTCTGTCTGCGATTGGTTTGGTCTCTTATCAGATTGTCCATTGTCGCCCATAGTTTGCATGGAAGATGCTGACTTGTCTGCAAACACTCAGAACATTGTGAAGTAATACCTCCTGGCTCTCAAGCCAAGCCAAGATACCAATACCAACTATGTGACACTTCGTCAGTATCTATATACAGCTAACGTATGGTGCGGGTATTTATCTTTGACTAATTCTTTGTCTTTCTCCGCCAGGAATTCGGTCTCGCCAGGTTTAAAAGTAACCAAGCTAAAGCCATGAGAGGGCTGGAGTACTCTCTCTCCAAGCTACAGAGTAAGTCACAAATACATGCACACACAAATCTGTATTTCACCTCTGAGGGCTTCACCAAAACCTGAAGCTTAATTACCACAAGCTATGTGTTTTTGTACAAAAGTCCTGAAACTGTAAAAAGAAATCCAGTTAAAACCAAGAAAACAAACGTCAGCCTATCACAAAACCGCTGTTTTTTTCTTTCTTAAAAAGGGAAATCATCATTTAAAAACTGTGGTTTTTATTTTCTCTGATCATCTTTGTCTAATTTAACTTTTAGAGCATTTCATTAAACGTTGGTCTCAATCTAGTATCAGATTGAGACCAACATTTACTGTATTGCACACCTTTGGTGGTGGCTTAGAGTGATGTCAACTTTTTCATTGATTTTTAGATTTGGTCACAGGATTCACATTTTTTTTTATTTATTAAAATATGAATAACAAATGTCATATGAGTCTTCTCTTTTGACTTTTTTATGTAGATGTAGTTTAGATCAGCCTGATTTTCGGTCATTAGAACTTAAACCTTAGATTGCATATAAAAGACGACGGTACACTCCGGGTGTGAGAACTGTGCATTTTCTTTTCTTGTTTTAAACCTTAAACCTATTTTCAGCTCCATTATGCTCATATTCAGTTTATTTTTCACTTCAGGGCTCAGATCAGTGTGACAGTTCCTCATTTTCTACTTTTATTTATCCACAGCTAGTGACCAGGGAGAGTCATCAGAGAAGCAAAAGCCCCTCCCACCACAAGCCACGCCGACCCCCAACCAGAAACCCAAACAGTTTGTCTGAACCTCAGTAGGAACAACAAGCCCACAATAGAGATTGACAGACCACGTGACTTTCGCACATTGCATGCCGGGAACTCGTGGCAAAACAATCCAAGTACCGCATCAAATGCAAGTATTTGCAGCACTGCAAAACGTTCATTCTCCGGTTCCAATACCTTCTTGCTTTTTCTTTGCCCCCCAAAAAAGGTATGTACAAAACGAAGGATAACAATGCTGGTCTGTACAAAGACAGACTCGACGAAAAGGCAAAGAAAAGATACGTGGAAAAAAATCAAAGGAGTGAAAGGGTTAGACCCTTACGAGCACACAGAGTGGACAAAAGACGTTAGCGTGCTGCCCAACTTTCACCACCACCAGTGCATACATTCATGAAGTTTAGTAACTTCAGGTCACTGCAACAAGCCCAGGTACAGTTTACCGACGGATGGGTACAGGACCTTGAAATGCACCGTGTAGAACGAAAGACCATCGTACAAACAAAGGTAAGTTTACCAGTCTCACAAATTGTCTTCATAAATACACATTCGTTAACCGTTTATTAATAGGACCTTTAAGCTCAATGGTAATTAATTAGTAGTGGAAATAATTTCTGGTACGGATTACAGAAATGTAGCAGTGACAATAATATTGTATGCTGTAATCGTACTGGGCAATTAGTGATACAAAAAACCAAAAAACCTGTTTTATCTGCTTTACCCGTCGGCTTCCCGTGGCTGTCATGTGACCGGCTATTGCAGTTAATAATACAACAGCTTCTTTCCATTTTTTGTGTTTCTTTTTATCGCTGTGTAACTGATTTCAATTGAAAGCCTGCGTGCGCTAGTACCTCTTGCCACGAATTCCCAGAATCCTTTGCGGTTTTACCCTTAAATGACGTCACATTTTCAATCTCTATGGCTCGTTTGAAGAGCAGCACTAAAACGGTGGGGCATCCACTCATCCTCAGTTCTGATTGGTGACACATTAGCTGATACTGATTACTTTTCAAAGTCACCAATCAGAGCAATGAACTACAATAATTCCCAGGATTCCTTGGGACTGATTTAATCATCTTATTAAAGTTTTAGTAATTTTTTTTTTGAAGTTTGCAGTTTGTAATTTGTCAGTTATGTAACGTAAACATGATATTAAGTTAATAATTTAAGTTTACGTTGACTTTTCTTATCTTTGTTTTTATATTTTTATATGGAAATAGTTTTTTGTCTTATTTTGTAGAATTCTCTGAATGATTATTGTCATCTTGGATTTCTTTGGGACCTCCCACAGTAAATGTCTTAAGAGATTTTCTATCAATAGGAACGGGTTTACATCAGATTCAGGTAGTTTAGAATCAGACTGTTGTAGAAATGCATGTTTCATAGTATCCATATGCCAGTTTGAGTAGATGTTTGTTTTCTGGTGGTATGGCTCTGATCTTAAAATTCCAATAGATTTATGTTCTGGATAATTGGCCAACCCATTGAGACCAAGGGGAAGGTCAGAGTTGAGTTTTGTTTTGTCTCATGCTAAAGAGGATATTGTGTTTTAGATGTAGTCTTATCCGTTTTGGCTTGAAAAAGGGTTGTCAGTAACCTGGTGTATGTTAATATTGCAGCATGCCAAGCTGCATTATGCAAAATCAACCTCTGGGGCTAACAAATAAAGCTAATGTTAAAGCACTGAACACTGCAGTTTCTCTAATATCCACTTCAGACTGGTTCTAAAAGTGACCAAAAGTGAGTCAGTTCCCACAGACGCAAAATGTCAAACTTTACAACAGAAATAAAGATATTTACAGCCTGCTACAAAAAGATATTTTGGCCATATAAACTGTCCTGCATGTTGGCTAGAAGAGGGACATCAGTGTTAAAACTTCTGCCCACTCCCTGTGTGTTCTATATAATATCTATTCACACATCTTGACGCTGAAGGTTCTACATGGTTCTTACATGGTAAAGTAAGCACCTGAAAATAAAAGAGAAAAAACTTGTGGGTTTCTCTTTGCCCGGATAAAAAGAATTTGTTAAACAGCCCTCACTGGATTGACCAATGCTTGTAATGGGAAAGCCTGAGTGAAGATATAAGAAGGAGAACTGTAGATTAACATGAGTTGGGAAGGTCTGTTGGAGCCATTTCTAAGCAACTGCAGATTCCAAGATTATCAGTTCAAGCAGTTTCATCTAAGTACAAGTTATTTGGATGTCTCATTGCTAAGGACTGAAAGAAGAGCCAAACTGTCACTATCAGATGAGAGGAAATTGGTCAGGATGTTCAGGGATCCCCCAGGCTCAAGCCTGCCATGAACAGGAAACTTCTGGAACACCAGCATCAACGTCGATAGCAAAGTCAGTTTTAAATTGCCACGGAATGAGAGGGTGCTGACCAAGAAACAAACTCCTACTCCAAAAATAACACCTTCAAACTCCACTGAAATTTGTAGCTGCTCATATGGACAAGCCAAATGCATTCTGCAGAACATCTTTATGATGAGACTAGACGACCGGGGCGGCGGGTTGGGAAGCTCATCTATGTAACCGGAAGGTTGCCGGTTCGATGGACAAGACACTTTACCTACTGCCTACTGGTGTTGGCCAGAGGGCTGATGGCGTGATATGGCAGTCTCACTTCTGTCAGTCTGCCCCAGGGCAGCTGTGGCTACAACTGTAGCTTGCCTCCACCAGTGTGTGAATGAATGAATAGTGGAATTGTAAAGCGCTATGAGGGTGTCGAAAAGCGCTATATAAATACAATCCATTATTATTATTATTAGACAAAGGTTGAACTATTTGGCCAAAATGACAGGTGGTGTGTTTGGAGGAGTAGCACTGCAGCGGCCGTCAAGCATGGTGGTAGCGTCATGCTCTGGGGCTGTTTTTACACTATTGCTACTGGTACATTACACAATGTGGATGCAATAATACAGGACTCTCCTTTTTTTTTTTTACTTGACAACGATCCCAAACACAAACGAAAACTCGATTCAAATGGAAGCACATTCAAAGCACATTAGCTCACATTAGCTAAGCCAGGTCTTTGCGAGGAAACTAACCAATTGAAATAAACTCTACCAATTCTGCCATGATGAATGGTCAATTATCCAGCCTGAATTATGCCAGAAGCTTGTTGATGGATACCAAAAGTGTTTGGTTGAGGTCAAACCTTCTGAGACATTTAACCAAATACTAGTGAGGATGTAAGTATATATTTAAGTCTTTATGCATAGTTTTCGACCCTGTGTGAATTAGAGAAAATTCCAAATAAATTCAAACTTGAGCACCCAGCTCTTATTTTTTAAAGTAATTAAAGATGTATGCTATACCATCATTCCACCATCGAAAAAGGCCAGTTCCAATAAATTATTTAAAAAAACCAAATTACCATGACATTCATGATGAGTGTGTATAAACATCTGACCACAACTGTATGTTTAAATGTGGAATGAATGGGTGGTGTCTGTAACACTAATATTAGTGCACATCTTTTCATTTTTCTAAGCCCGTCAGCTTTTCAAAGCCTCTGAATGTATTGCAGGAAATATTCATTAAAGCTGAAAAGACTGGAGTTCAAGCTGAACAGTTTCAGAGCCAAAAAGTAGAAGTAATGAAATTCTGGAAAAACACAGACTGGTTACCATACGCTTTATTTTTCCATCCTTTAGCAGAAATAGTACAAGTATAAAGGAGATGGATAAAAGCAGCATGTCTCTTGTCTCTGCGAACACTGTCACATTAGGTCAGCACTCGGTTGGTCAGTCAGTCCATCAAAGTCACCGTGGAAACCACCTGAGAAGACAACCAGAGTAAACTGTGACTGCTGTTCTTTCTGTCACAGACCTTGGCTCCTTTTCACAAATCATATCCCAGTTCTTCTGTTGGAATCATCTGTGTTTGAGGATGACCTCTGCCCTGATGCTGGACTGTCAGTTGACGTACAGTGGTGTGAAAAAGTGTTTGCCCCCTTCCTAATTTCCTATTTTTTGTGTATTTGTCACTCTTAAGTGTTTCAGATCATCAAACAAATTTAAATATTAGACAAAGATAACATGGCCCTGTATGAAAAAGTATTTGTAATTAAATAGAAATTTTCTAACAAACTGAAGCAAGCTAAGAGATCTCAAAAAGCAAAACAACATACCACGATCCAAAGAAACGGCTGATAAACAAAGTAGGTGACATCTCTCAGTCTGGAAAGGGTTAGAAGTCCATTTCTAAGGTTTTGGGACTTCAGTGAACCACGGTGAGAGCCATTATCCACATATGGACAAAACCTCGAACAGTGATGAACTTTCACAGGCCAGCCTACCAAAATTACTGCAAGAGTGCATCAGCAACTCATCCAGGAGGTCACAAAAGAACGATTCTTGACCTCAAGCTGAGATCACGAACAGATGGCCGTATATTCTCACTTGGGTTCTGCAGGAGGACAATCATCCAAAGCACAACAGCAAGTCCACCTCAATGGCTTAAGAAAAACAAAATGAAAACTTTGGAGTGGCCAAAGTCAAATTCCTGACCTGAATCTGATTGAGATGCTGTAGCATGACCTCAAAAAGGTGGTTTAGGCTTGAAAATCTTCCAATGTGGCTAAATTACAACAATTCTGCAAAAATGAGCGGGCCGAAATTCATTCACAGCACTGTACAAGACAGACTGCCATTTATGGTAAACGCTTCGTTTCAGCTGTTGTTGCTAAGTTTGGCCCGACCAGTTATAAGGTTTAAGGGAGCGATCACTTTTTCACACAGGGCCATGTAGGTTTTTTCCTCTTAAAATTTTAAATTTAAATTCTTTTGATGATCTGAAACATTTAAGTGTGACAAATCTACAAAGGAAATAGCAAATCAGGAAGGGGGGAAACACCTTTTTGAACCACTGTATAAACTAGGACATTTTATTCACTCAACAGCTTATCAGGCAAAGTTGGAAATACAAACCCATCAGTTTAGGTGGGCAGAAAACTTAACTCCAGTAAAAATTGCTAACATATCTGTAATGTCTCTTTCCACCTCCACCAGTGAGGTTTCCTCAGGCATTTTTCCTCTTTCTGAATTTCTTACTTAAACTTCACTGTTCTCTTCAGCAATCACCACATAACATATATGATGGTAAATCACAAAAGCTGATTGTACCTTACCTAATAAGTCCAGGACACGCTGATGAAGGCTGGAGCTTCAGGTTCATATGTCAAACTGGCAGATCTGCGTACCCGAGCAGGTGTGTTACACGTCTGGAAGTTAAAGACAAAGTCCAGGCTTTACAAAACCAAGAGTGATCCATTCATTTAGGACTGAAGCCACTGACAGCAAACATTTCATCTTTTGTGTCAAAACCCTCCAATTATAACATTTTTATTGAATCTGATGATAGTAGTCTCTGAAAGTCGATCAGCATCTATTATATATGGGTCGATTCATCTTTTAAAAATGATGAATTCCGGTGATAACAATGAACAGCATCAGAAACAGCATTTTCAAAAGCTGAAGAACCTTTTAACCCTTTAAGACCTACCATAGAACCAAGGCCGCCAAAGCTTACTTTATATTTTTACATGCTGTAGTGCCATTTTTGGGAGCATTTCAAGTTGCTATACATCAATACAACTGTTATAGCCCAAATTTTAATAATATTTATGCATTAAATCCATATTAACCACATAAATTGCAAAAAAGTGCAATAAACTACAGAGAAATTGAACATCGTTTTTGTTTTGTTTTTTTACATATATTTCTACTTGGAGAAATTTAAGAGGTTTATCCCTCAAAACTTTAAATACAAAAAAGTTGCAAAAATAGTTTACAACCACAGGAAATTTAATTTGAGTGTCTTCATAGTTTTATTTTTGAGATACACCAATTTTTATATACTGCAGAAAAATTGAAAAACAATCCTATAATGCAAATTTGCAAAGAAAACAGCATATGCATCAAAATAAACTATTTAAAGCAGCGCAATTTGAGTTCTAAGCATCACAGAAACTATTCAGAAAAGCATAAAATCAAACATGACTTTTAAAAACACCAGTATAGGCTTTCAAGGCCTACAAGTAAAAAACTACATTTTCCGCGAAAATGACGTCACTTCCGGTTTCGGGCAGGTAATGGCGGACATGCGATTGTTCGCGCTGACGTCTATTTCAATGTAGGAAGTGTTACGAACAGCTGATCGGATTGGCAAAGTGTGTTTCTGGAATATTACATTTTTGTTCCTGCAAGCACTTTTTATGCAATTTTTGCAAAGCTATATGTGGAAGGAAACCGTGACCTAGCACAAGCTGATGGCATAAGATGTAAGTACAACCCCTCCGGTTTCATATGCAAAACAAAATTATTGTGCTAGCTTACATGGTTCCGGTTCTACAGGGATTTAAAAATAGTTACGCAAAACGGAGCGTTGCTGCTCCGACCGCCTTTAAAGGGTTAATGCTTGATGCACTGCACCCATATCTAACAGCTCGGGCAAATTAGGAAAAAAATCTATGGTGTCATGGACAAGAAAGTCTACCACAACATTTTAGTGCATTATGGAGTCTCTTCTGGACCGGAGCTGATTAGTCGTGGGTTCATATTAGAGCTGGGCGATAGAACGATAACGATATGTATCGCGATATAACTTTTACTCGATAGAGAAATTAAGCTATCGCGATAGACTTCGCCGCTCTTGTCCTCTTAAAAAAAAATAAATACAAAAAAAAAAAATAAAGGTCAGCCAATCCAAATTAAGTAGCGCAGAGCCGAACCAATCACAGCCGCAGCGTCACGTCGCGTGACTTGTTACGTACAGCACAAGTGCCAAGCCGCACGTGTGTTTGTTTGGGAAGCAGCCAGCGGGTAATGGAGCCAGCACGTAATGGAGGAAATGAGTGTGCCGACTAGAAAAATCAACCGAGCGTGACCGAAGAGAAAACAGATGATGGTTCCAATGCCGGAGAGATTGTCGAACGGAAGAGCCAAAGAAGTTCCGTAGGGTGAAGGTATTTCGGCTATTTCAAGTCTGACAAAAAACAGAGTAGCATGCACTGTAAATTGTGCCGAAAGCAAGTCTGGAAATACAATAAACTGGTGCATGCGTCACACTGTGCGCCACGTTATTGTTTCAGTGAAATGAATTTCTACAATACTGTTACTGTTAATTCTACTCTGCAGTGTTTAAATGCTTACATATACACAGTTACTGTCCGTCCACACATACGACTCGGGTCTGCTTCTATGCCCCAGCTTTGTTTACTTTTTCCCACCGAGGCTTCTAGACTTCTGATTGGCCAACATTTCTGCACGGTTAGGAATCTAGCACCACCTGCTGCTTTGGCATGTTCATAGCAGCGTTTTCCTTCATTTCTCCCTTTATGTGTGGACGGGATTATTTTTTAAAATGAAAACGGAAAATCTCCGTTTTCAAAAATACCCGTGTACGTGTGGACGTAGCCTCAGTCTCTGACTGGAAGTGCTAATTCGTCATTCGGCTTTTGTCAGACTAAAGTAACTGTTAAAACTGTTTGAAAAGCTAAGCTATACAACAAGGAGAGATTGAGAATTTCCTTTTAGTTCTCAGTTTATTTGATATTGACAAAAGTTAGTCAGTTTTCTCTGTTCTTCTGTAAAACAAACTAAGATTTATTTTTAGAATTAACATTTTGTTTCTAAGTGGAATTGACAATTTAGTCTGTTTTGTTTGTTCTATTTTGAAACTTAAACGCTTTAGCGGCTGCCTTTTGTGTAGTTTGCAATATTTGCCTTTATTTATCTGAAAAAGTCTCATGTTCCTTAAGTACATCTACCCTGTTGAACTTATTATGGGAATAAATATTTAAATAAAACAAGCTGCTGATTATTTCACATTTTACTTGTGAGCAACGGCACATTTAAATCTTACAAATAGTTATTTGGCTTATATCGTGATAGATATCGTTATCGCCTGAAATGAAAAAAACATATCGTGATTAGAGATGGCATGATACCACTTTTTTATGTCCGATACCGATACCGATATCATAAATTTGGATATCTGCCGATACCGATATGAATCCGATATAGTGTTTTTTAATCAACAAAACTGTTTTTAAATATCTTGCTGCATTTTGTATAAGTTCATACTCAAGTTTAAAACAACAACTACACTAAAGCTATTCTTTTATACCTGTATGCAAAAAAAAATATTTCATAGTTCAGCAATACTGATCAATCTAATAAACTTAAACCTACACCATCCTCCCTATTCTGGTATTTTAAAGAGTACTTAGCATAAATATTAAGCAACCTAACTAATAGGGTTCCAACTCCCAGCAACAACAAAAATAAATAAATAAAAAATAGGGAACCACCCCTCACGCTCCACCTCATGATGCTTAATCGACGTAATCAACCTTAATTTGATGCAGTGTGAAAAAAAATGCACAGAAATCAATTATTTTTCAAGAAATATTAAATAGATTCAACATCTTTCTTCAACAGAATTGCAGACTGCACAGATGGTACCTTCCCAAAGGAAAAAGTACTATAGCTTACTAGGGTATATATATTAGACTTAATAGTTACTATATACAATAATGGACTTCTATTCATTTTGCATCAATTAAAACTTGGGTGTCAGATAATTATTTATTAAAAGCTAGACATTTTAAATGAGAATAGAAAGAAAAGTATGTCTTTGTGCCCCTTTCCCTGTTAATGGCCCTATCGGCCCCCCTGGCTAAACTTTGCTAGATCCGCCCCTGCACAGTTACCAGCCGTCAGCTACGTAGAAAAAGATCCTGGAGTAGAAAGTAATATTAAATACATTCTAACAACAGCTGATCAAGCTTAAACGTGCTGCTGTTGTTCAGCCGCTGGTTTCCTCTTTCTGGTGCAAAGTGGGCCAAAAGCAAACTAGAGACACGGACTCGCGACAGAAAAGCCGATCAGCTGATCGTTAAGCAGTTTCATGATTGAAGTAGCAGCAAGAAGAGGCAGTCGTTGTTAAGCTTAACGCAGGAATGCTTTACAAACATTCAGAGATGGACTTACACACTTGCTTTACTTCTCTCGGATAACTTGTCGGAGATGAAATGCCAGGTTGCTACGAAGCTCCACATGCTATCCAGACCACGACAGGTCCCGCATGCCACAGCCGCTCTATCACGTGATGCATACTGCTCCGACGTGCTAACGTTCTGAGGTGAATTACGGCGTGTTGCAAGTTTTGTGAGGTGCTTTCGTGATATTTAATGGATCGGATTACATTTTTTATTTTTCTCCGATATCCGATCCAGTAATTTAGGTCAGTATCGGACCGATACCGATACGTAATATCGGATCGGTCCATCTCTAATCGTGATATGAAAAAATCTCATATCGCCCAGCTCTAGTTCATATACCAACAAGACATTGACCCCAATCATAAGTCAAAGCTGTGCAGACACTATTTGACCAAGAAAAAAGAATGTGAAGTTCTGGACCTGATGAAATGGCGAAGCGAAAGGTCAGACTTCAGTTCTGTTGAGCAGATTTGAGATTTAATGTATTCAAAGACAGCTCGTTTTATGCAAACCAATTCTCTGTGGACATCTAGAAGCTATTTGGACATCAATAGCAAAAGACACTATGGATAAGGAACAGTAAATAATGCGCTTCAGTGCTTGAACATTTGCACACTGAAGAGAAATGTCTATGTGCAGAGCAATGTCTCATGAAATCAGAAAAGATGGCCAGATTTGGTATATCTTTCTATGAACATTTGCGTACCGGGATGCAGTTGTTCCCCTGTTTGGGACACAGGTGGAGTTGGCAGTGAAGGAAGATGTCACTAGAGCCCCCAGTGAACCGGAACATGTTGAAGGAGAAGTAAGTGGAGGTTGCCAGTCCGTTTTCCTCCACCTGCACCGTCGGGTCAGCAGGGTTTGCACAGCTGTTCATAAGCAGGAAAATAAACTTTGTTCAGGAGTCCATAATAGTGATCAAAAGGAGTTGAATTAATCTCTGAGCAGCAGCGAGCAACCACCACCTCTGAGTTTCTCTCACCCGTTAATGATCAGATCATGTCTTGGACTGCTGGTGGGTGATGCCTTGTCAGTTGCCCAGCAGGAGTCGGTCACCACACTGACCATGCTTCCATCCAAGCCATCGGTCTTCAACACCATCCAGATTTTCTCGTTCAACTGCAATTCACTGTTCCACTCCACAAGTTGTGTGCGGCCAGCATTAGTGTAGGCCTTGATAGTCAGAGTGTAATTCCAAGCTCCAGATGTGATGCACTGTGCAACGGACCTGCAGAATGCACACATTTACACTGTTGTTAACAACAATCCCAACTAGGGCTGCTCAATTAATCGAATTTTAATCACGATTACGATCTGGGCTTTCAACGATCATTAAAAATGACTGAGCCGATTATTAGCCCCTCCCTCATTTATCCGCAACACCTTAAAGGCCGGTCCGTGAAAATATTGTCGGGCATAAACCAGTCCGTGGCGCAAAAAAGGGTGGA